GTTACTACGTACTACGTACGAACACACACACATATATATATATATATATATATATATATATATATATATATATATATATATGGTGAAGGGTTTATATAAGGTTGCAACCTTAAAATGTCGAATCACAGGTGCACCTCAAAAATCTATCGGAAATGTTGTTTTAATATTGAAAAAGCCCTCTAATCAATCATCTTGACATCGAAATATATGAACATGAAAAAAAAAATGTTTTTGAATATCGAAAATAGTGCATCTTGCAATATATTATCTTGACTATCCATTTTCAAGATTTTCATATATTTATAGACCTACTTGATTCTAACCATTGTTTATATGTAAAATTTTCTAATTAGGTATTTAAGATAATACTAAGAACTTTTTACAACCAAATTACATATTATAAAAAAGTTGTAAGGTGTGCATTGGATTGTTTAAAGTTGCAACTTTATAAAAACCGTACCCCATATATATAAAAGCAATACTTTTAACTCCTGCGACTGACGGAGTTATGTTAGCTTGTCATTTTGCCCACAAATTGAGGACGTCCTCGGATTATCGAATTTGCAAATAAAAGATTGACTCTATATGAAATAAATAAATATTGGCTCTGTTTTGTGTGACAAATGAGTTAAAGGCGTCGTGGATCTTTGAGGACGTTGTGGGATCGAATTTGCAAATAAATATTAGCTCTATATAAAATAAATAAATATTGGCTCTGTTTTGTGTGACAAATTAGTTAAAGGCGTTGTGAGAGGTAGGATTTTTTAAAGAGTGCTGATCCTACGAGACCCTCCCATACCTACGTGTGTAGGACCTTAAAGGTTCAAGAGTAATGATTCTACGTGACCCTCCCACACCTGTGTGTAAGACCCCAAATGATCACCATTAAATTTGATAAATATCTTTAGAAAAACTATCATATCGGTGTGAGACTTGAGACTTGACCTTTATAGAGATCCGTGCCAAATTCAATGGTGATCCTTTGAGGTCCTACACACATGAGTGTGGGAAGGTCTCATAGAATCATTACTCTTTTTTAAGTGGAATATTTTTTTCAACCCTATTTTTTAATGAGTAATGATCCTATAGGACCCTCCCCCACCCATGTGTGTAGGATCCCAAAGGATCCAATTAAAGTTAGCATGGATCTCTAAGAAAGCTATCACATAGGTGTGGGACTTGATCTTTCTATAGATCCGTGCCAAATTTAATAGTAATCCTTTGGGGCCCTATACACATGGGTAGAGCAGGGTCCTATAAGATCATTTCTCTTTTTTTAATGCTTGGATTTATTTTGGAGTTTTTTTTTCCATAATTTTTTTTAAAAATATAGTTTGTAATTCTATATTTTTTATGGCAAGATTTTTTTACTTTATTTTTCTTAATGATTTAGCTTTATTTTGGATTTTTTTTTCCATGACTCTCTTAAAAACTATGTTTTTTAATTTTATATTCTCAATGGCTTCGATTTATTTTTGAGCTATTTTTTCCATAACTCTCTTGAACAAACGAATCTTATATCTCGTGAGTTTATAAGAGGTCTTTAGTTCTATTGGGGTTGGGCTGCATTTTTTTTCGGAAAAAGTTTATATAGAACCGAGGCTCTAAACAAAAAATTCGAGCCGACCTCTAAAATTTTACTAAAAATAATTGTTTTGATGCCTTTATATCGTCAAATTGATCATCTCGACATCAAGATGCATGGACATGAGAAAAAACTAGATTTCGAAGTTTTGGAAATAGTGCATCTTGTAATGTATTTTAGACGGTCAATTTTCAATATTTTCAAGTTTTCATAGATCTGCTCGATCTACCCTATTTTTTATGCTTTAAATTTAAGAATTAAATATAAAAATATATTTTAGGGCATCACAAAGATTTTCGGTATTGAAACCACATTTCTTGACATTATTTGAAGCTAGGCTCTTATTTGATTGTTTAGACCCCGGCTCTATACAAACTGCACCTTCTTCTTTTTTGTTACTCCTTTTATCATAACTCTTTTAAAAAGCAAAATTCTTACCTCCCGTGAATTCCAAAAAAGCAACCCCTCGTTTTTTTATATAATTGCTTTTTTTTTTTTTGGAGCTCCTTCTGTTTATAACTCTTAAAACTTTTTTTTTATAACTCTTGAAAAAATCGAAGTGATGAAAAATGGATGCACACTTTTGGAACTAATCAAATATGACTAATTTTATAAATTTCCTTTGTTCTTTTATATTTCTATGACAAAAATTACATCTCACATGCATGTCTAAACACAAAAAAGCATTAGGAAAAAGTTATTGTCGAGAAATTAGTAGAGTAATTATAAAGAACATCAAGAGTTTGCGATTTTTCACAGGGTATCAAAGTCACCTCGTTGATGCACAAAATCAGTCAACAGAGGTGAAAGAAAACCACGAATATGTAGAGGGACTTTGAAGATGATTTCAAAATCTTCAAAACAAACTAAGAATCACAAAAAATAGTTGAGTAATTAGAAAAAATATTAAGAGTTGGCGATTTTTTTCACAAAGTATCTAAGCTACCTCGTTGATGCACGAAATCAGTCAATAATGGAGAAAGAAAACCACAAATATGTAACGGGCTTTTAAAGTTTACTTCAAAATCTTCAAAACAAGTCAAAAATTATGCGAGTTGATGTACAAATAAAAAAAAAACAACAAGGTTTTGGCGGAAAATTTTTGTTTTTCGCAGAGATAATCATAAAACCAAAAGATTACTTGATTAAACTTTATAAAATTTCAAATCAGTATAGTGTTTTTGTAGATAACTTCAATATATTTAAAAACAACCCAGAATCAATAAATTTGGTAGAGAGAACGGACTAGAATGGCGGATTTTGTATTTATTCAAGAAGAACCCTAAAAATCCGAAAATTTCTTGATAAATTCTTGCTCAAATTGGGTTTTCCTGAACCCAAATCGTATCATAAAGATATTTTTGTTGTTAAAAACACAAAGAGGTTCCAAAAATCAATCAAAATCAGTCCCAAATTTCTAATTGTTTATTAATGAAAGTTTCTATTTTTTTAAAACCAAGTTTCATCCGTGAAACATTATGACTGCGATTTTCATTGTTTTCTGGGCGAGTCTTACGATTTTCTACGGATTCCTGTACACATAGCGTACGACTTCACTTGCACAAGTGACTCGGGCTTCCAGGGCTCGGAAGTAGGCCGAGGCCGAGTCGAATCGGCCGATGCTGAAAACCCTGCTTGCACTAATGCCGTTTAAATTTTATGGTCGCTGCCCATATTTAACTACTAATATTTAATACACAAACAATATTAATTTCCTTTTTCCTCTTTTCCCTCCAACTGTTTTGAACGATTAGCTTTTCAGCAACCTGTTCTTAGCTATTTCCGCCTACATTTTGAGTGGGGTTACCGATGAGTGGGAATATCCAAACAACATGCAAATCGCATGGCCCATAATTTTTCTTACTTGCACATTATTTTCAAAGGATCCTATACTAGGAGACCATTTTATATTTGGAGGTTATATTTTCCTACTAACAATTAGATGTCTAATTGGATGATTGGGGTGTGTCATAAAGTTCAAGAATTTTTATTTTTTGAACTTTGAGTCTGTCAAAGAGTCTCTCTTCTTTTAGGGCCGTTTTAGGTAATGGTGGACAAAAAAACGGCTTTTAGGGCTGTTTTGGGCAATGGTGGACAAAAAAACGGCTTTTAGGGCTGTTTTGGGTAATGGTGGATTGCATTCATATGAATGTCGCGACAAGCTCTTGTTTTCAAGGAAACTTTCAGATTTAGCTACATTTATTTATGAGGAATGAGTTCTCCCACTACTCTCCCATGTTTGTTTCACAGAATAGTCATAGACACACTAGCAGCTGGGTTAGTCGTTTTAAGCCTGTCTCAGCATGCACTTCATAACTATTTTTATATGAAAGTGTTCTCCTAGGTGCCATAATGCTCTCTCTGAGAACAAAGTTTTGCAGGCCCCTGAATTAAGGACAAACAGACATGCCCAAAGAGTATACAAAAAATCAACTCGGCCAAGGTAGTTGGCCCTTGTCCAGGTTGAATGATTAGGAACATCCCAGAAAAAATGAAAGCTAAAAAGAGCCAAAAAAGGGTTAAAAAATTATCTAACCAATTTTAAGAGCTAAGAAAAAGCTAAAATGGCCAATAGAATCATTAGGGGACTAAATAAGATGAATAAAAGCTATAAAAGATGGATTACTGAAAAGTACATTGACACCTTGAGTATTTCAAAAAAATTTATAAAGGGATAAAATATGAAAGTTCCCAAACAATCTTAAAAACTAACAAAATCTTTTACAAACGTATTGTCATATTATCTTGTGTTTATATGTTTTTGTATTTTTCTTTATAGTAGCATTTAATTGGGCCTGGCGAGTTGTATACCCAACTCACCAAGAACGTGCCTCACCCATAGGGCAAGGCCAAATTACTCAGCCCAGTCCAATTGGAATCAACCAAGTCCCAACACTCCGGCCCAATGCAAGCCCCAAATTCCTGAAATTTAACTATGAGATTCTTATTCATGGGATAAATGCAGTGTTGCTGATAAGGAAACGGGGCAGATACCAATGGCGTACGTTGTGAGAGCAATTGATTCGCATTTAACAGAGGAGCAAATGATGTCTTTCGTTGCAGCAAAGGTCAGTCCATTTTCCGTCTTATTCTTCATCCATTGTCACCGAAGTTTTGAAACTCAGCTTGGGCTCGGGACTTGGCCCATGCCCGACCCAAGCAACTCGGGCAAGTATGACTTAACTTCCTAGTAGTTCACGTGCCCAACAGAACTCAAAATTGAAAATTTAACAATTTGCTGAAAATAAAAAGGGGCAAACTAGAAAAGAAGTTAAAGGCATTTAAAGACTACGAAGATGGAAAAAATTGCATAGATAGAATATGGAAGAATTTGATTTATAGCTTGAAAAAACTCAGAAATTTTAAAAAAGGAAAAAATAGAAAAATAGGTATTATAATAAAAATTTTGAAATATTATTTATAAATACATTTATAAAACATATATTATATTAGTGGGGCAGTGATTTCATGCAACGGTTGAGTAGTAACATAATGTACTAATCTTCGAAAACCGTATTAGGGCCATTTGTTTGATCCAAATTTTTAAATATTTATTATTTTCATTCTAATGAACAATCACAAAAAGAAAAAAAAAAAAAAAAAAAAAGAAGAAAAGAAAGAAAGAAAAGAAAACACAACCTAAAAAAAGTATTTTTAGCCCAACTGACATAGGTCATCCCTTTTGATGAGATGTTTAGATTTAGGTCTTAGAAGGATTTTTTTTTTTTCAATTTTTGAGTTCGTAAAGGCTAATATCTTAAAATTCACCAAATGAATTATCTATATTCATTGTTGGAGGTGACTCATTTTGACTATATCTAAGATTCAAATTGAATTTTTTTTTTTAGATTGATTATTGAGAGGAAGTGAGAGTGTGCAAAATTTTGGATCATACAAATACTACAGGTGTGGATGCATTATACTATGATACAACCGTTGCATTAGATCACCACTCTATATTAGTGATTCGGTAATATTGGTTTTATAAAAATAATAGAATTTATACAACCCAAATTTTGTCGATAGAAACTCCCTTTGACATAGCTCATTGAACACTACTTCTGAGTTTTTGTTAACCATGTGCTTTGCCATCATTCAATTGGACCCATCTTAGAATCATGTTATGGTGTATGTATGCAGGTTGCCCCATACAAGAAGGTGAGAAAGGTAAAATTCATAAATTCTATTCCCCGGTCTGCAGCAGGAAAGATCCTAAGGAAGCAACTACTCATGCCTGTCTCCATGTTATGACTTCCTTGGTCAGGTTAAGAACTAATATGTGGTTTGGAGACCTAAACTCAGGTATGTAAGGGACTTACTGCATGGAGATTAAGACAAATCTTACGGATTAATAAAGCATATTTACTTACAAAAGGAACTATCATCACTGTTATTTGAAGGGAACTTAGGAGATAAGTATATGGAGAAACCTTACAACTTTGTATTGCAAATTTCAGATAGTTCATTCCTACAAAACGAACATGTCCTAACATTTAACAGTTAATCTCCTCTGGCCTACCTTGTATGCTAAGCAAGAAAGGAAATTAAAGGATAAATATCGTGTGTAGGGGTACCATCCACAACTGGGGTTCCACCCTCCGTTTTCAATGACCAGATTAGAGATGAATGGTGATTACATCCAATCCATCTCTTTTACTACAAGAGATGCAACCTCTTCATATCATGAGCACAGCAAAATAAGAATAACAAGGTATAGCATCTATGTCATGGGGACGCTTGAAAGATGTATGGTCGGCCTTGATCGGTATTCCCGTGCTATGTGTCCGTGGCCCCCGTCGTGCGCACGTGGATGACCCCAGTGTGTACACATGAGGATAAGGGTGGGAGGTGTGGTTGGTTCAAACTAACAAAATTTAAATAAGTTAAGCTTTACCTTGAGGTGAAGGTGTCGAATACACCTGAGCGAATCGCCCTCTTAGATCCTGGTGTGTGTGTGTGTGTCTGGGGAAAGCCTCCCGGTCGTCGATCGAAACTGTTTGGACTCAACCCCATTTCTCTCTTCCTTGCTCAGTTCCCTCACTTGAATCATGCACAAGTAATGGTTCGGGTCCTATGGATTCCTAGGCTTGTCCTTGGCTTGGAAAAGGTTCAAATGTAACCTTTGTTCAAGTATGGTTGATTGGTATAGACTAGGTTCAATATGGTTTGGGTTAGGTGTGAAGTAGACTAGGTGAGCTTGGTTAGGGTAGGTGAGTTCGTATGGGCTAGATGAGCTTGGTTTGGGTAGGCAAGGTTCATGTAGGTTAGGTGTACTTGGTTAGGGTAAGCTAGGTTCATGTATATTAGGTGCATTTAGTTGGGTTAGGAAAGGCTTGTGTGGATTAGGCTAGCTTAGGTGGGCTAGGCTAGGATCATGTGGATTAGGCTAGCTTAAGTGGGCTAGGCTAGGATCGTGTGGGTTAGGTGGGCTCGGTTTGTATAGGCTAGGCTTGTGTAGTCTTGATTGATAGGGAGTAGGGCAGAGTGGGGTATATGGTTTAGGTAGGGAGTATGATAGAGTGGGATGTATGGTCTAGATAAGGAGTAGGATAGAGGGAGGGGTAGTCTCTCTTTGTACAAAATTTATTTCTCCTCTTTAGAGATTCAACAATGCACAAAACAAAGAAGACCTCACTCTCTCTTTCTCTCTAGGTTTAAACCTTTTTCATTGATTTTTCCAACCTTTTTACAACCCCTTTTCCAAACCTTTAATATTTTATTTGATGGGGTTTATACAGAGGTCACCCTTGAAAGAAGCGTATGCACTCAAAATCTATGAAGATTGCTGCAAAATAGAACTAATAAAAAAAATTGAAAATTTCTAAATAATAGAAAAATTACCAAAAGGGACACCAAAAAATCATGCAAATAACACATAAGTCCCCAAAAAGGGTCTTCTTTCCATGCACATTGCTTGAGGCCTTCTTTTGGCTTTTTCAGCGCATTTCAGACAATCTATCGACCTAAAAACATAGATCACGCCGAGTTGATCGTTTTTGTATAAAATTTGCATCGTATCACTGAGTTTTAATGATGTTCTTGAAACATTTTTTTTTTCTTGTTTTCGTGAAATATTAATTTTCCTTTATCGCATGATCTTGTAAAAAATGTCGTGTTTATTGCTTTGTTTTTGCCGGCAAATCGAAGGGGATGCCGACACAGTAATTTGATAAAATTTATTCGAAATGGCCTTTGAATGGCCATTTTGGGTTTCCAACAAGTCCAAGGGAAACCACTTTTTTGGTGCCTCAAAATTTGTGTCCAACTTGCCGAATCACGGTGTTTCTCATCTCAAAACGAAGCTAATTGAGCTACGATCGAAACACACCCATTTTGGGGTCGATCAAACCTTCAGGGATAGTATTACGATTGTTGGAGCGAGGATAGGTTGCACACATTGATTTTCTGCATTAACTTATTTTTTTTGAAATCTTCTTGCTTGGATTTCTCTCACTACGTTTGTCAATATTGTCCATGGCATATGTCAAAAGTTCTTGCTTGTTGAGGAGCACGACATATCAAAATTTGAGCTCGATTTGCCTTAAGGATCGTGAGTTATGAGCATGACTAGTTGCCCAGGTTTTCAAAAAAGGTATCAATTGTTTACTATTTTTGGATACTAGTTTGGCTTGCCCGTCCTTGAATAGTAAACAGCCTATCTATTTTGGAAAAGTAGGATCTAAGAAGATCCATTTGGAATGAAATTTGGTAGTCAAAAGTTTTTTGTCCTTCTTAAGCTATATATGGTTGTCTGGAGACCATTTGAGGTATTCGTCATGGAGTTTTACCATGATGTACATCATACACGCATAGAACGTAATACTCTTAACAATACTTTCTTCCTATCTCTTTCCACCTTTGCTCGATTGGGTTGAAACTTCCATAATGACTTCGGGGTATCAAACGCCAGTCACGTGCATCTTTTAGGGTCGATGTGATGCCTTTGTAGAGACTTTTCAAAATCTGGGCTTATTCGGTGTGGCCTTCTATAGTTTTTAGGACATATCTGATGCTTGCAACCATGTCGTTTTTTATTCTCATGGGAAAGGTTTATTCTCTTGGGAAAGGTGCGTCAAAATTATGCGCCAACAATATACAAGCACACCTTTCAACGTTTCTAACTAACCTTGGGCTTATCAAGGGCCACAAATTTATTTTGTTTTCTATTTTTTATTTTACAAATAATTTTAAATGAAAATTGGGTTGTCCAAAAATCATTCTAGGGCGCATCTAATCAAAATTAAAAAGAAGATTTCAAATAAAAATAAATAGCAAAACTAGCCCTGAGTCTTTCTGGAGTAATTTGATATTTTGTTCTATTTCAAAACTATTTTTTTTAATTTTTATCGAGTGCACTGTATAAATGTGGGAATGTACACACAAATTTTCATATGAATTGAATTTATAAATAAAAAAAAAATGCAAATTATTTTGAGGTACTTTGATCGGTGCAAATTAAATCTGGAACATAGAAAGGGTGCATGTGTCTTATGTGGATGTTATATTTTTCCTTACTCCTAAATATTCTATAATACTCACTCAACGAGAATGCATCTAGTCTACAAAGAGATCATTTATTTTTTGTATATGAAGGTCACAATAATTCTTATTCCTTAAATTTCAAAATGCGTAGTTGTAAGACTGTCATTAGATAGATACAAAGTTTCAAAAAAGAATTTCTCATGTCATGACTCACCGTAAGCCATCCAATGTGATATCTGATGAATGGAAATGATTGCGACATCCATGTACAAAAAATAAATGGTCTCTTTGTAGATAGGGCTGAGAATTTATCTGATTGGGTCCAGATCCACACATATTCAGATCTAGATTCAAAATATATATATGAGATTAAGATCCAAATCCGAATCCAATCGTATCCAGCCTATTTGGATCCAAATCCAGATCCAAATGCGGATCGAAAACTATACCTAAGATCCTATCAGTTCCCACCGAAGACTCATTCCTTTCTCTCTCCAAACGTGTTCATCTACTCATTTTTCTCTGCCAAAATCTCTCCACTGAAAACTCTTCCTATCTACACGCATTCATCCCCTCACATTCTCTCTCTACAAAAAAAATCTTTGGCAGTCTCTTCCTTACTCTCTCTCTCAACGCATTCATCTCCTCGTCCTTTCTTCTTGGAAATCTCTCTCCTCTGCACACGTTATTCATTCCATCATCTTCTCTCTCTCCGCACCCATTTGGCCCCTCACTTTTTTTATAAACATCCCTAAGTTCTTCCCTCCTCTCACCTCTCACTTCAAAATCACACTTTTCTACTGGTTTTTCAGCATAGAAAAAAATAGCGAACATATTTTCTAGATCATTGAATCATAGGATTTAGACAAAGTTTAGTCGGCGATCGATCTTGGATCATTTGATTAAACAATCAAGCGATTGTTGCTTAATTTGTTGAGGGAATTCAAATCAAAGAACTATCTGATTTTGTGGAACGCTCCTGGAAATGCCCTTCATCCTCTTCTTCTACAAACCATAGAGAGAGACCAGATAAGAGAGGGACGCTTGCCGCTACCTATATCAACTCATTTCCCCTTGATCTTCTTCTTCTACAAACCCAAGCCATACATAATCCCATTGCTCTTGCATATCCAAAGAGCAGAAGAGCTGAAACTAAATCTTGGATCCATTCCCGAATCAGAATAGGATTCGAGATTCAAATTTTGGATCCGAATTGGGTAAATTCTCAAGACCATCGTTTTATATATTAATGGCAGGGTTTCTTTGAGTCCATTTAAGAATGAGTTGCCTCTTAAAAATCTACTTTTGAGATGGATTTTTTTGACCTAATTTTTAAGGGACAAGTTTATATAATAATGCAACCTTATAATGTAGAACTACAGATGCACCTCAAAAATCCATTGGAAAAGGTAGTTTTAATGTTGAAAAACCCTTTGATTAATCATCTCGACGACCATGAAAAATAAAAAGATTTTAAGTCTAAAAAATAGTGCATTTTACATCATTATCTACACCGTCCATTTTCAAGATTTTCATATGTTTTTGAAATTTAAAATTTTATAATTAGATATAAAAATAGATTTTGTGATAATCCTAAGAACGTTTTACATCAAAATTATATCACCCAATTACAGATGCATCCGTATGCCATCTGCACCCAATTTTTAAACACATGTAATCTCTAACATAGAGATCATGAATATAAAATAATAAATAAAATTTGATGGTTAGTTTCAACTATTTATAGATGGACTGCCTATCCTCTTTAAGATGGATGCTTTTACATCTCTGATACCACAAATGTAGAAATATATCATGTTTAAGGAAACTAGTGATGGGTCCTCTCCAATCTTCTACCTGCTCAATTTCTGCACACATTGGGTCAAAGAATT